GGTGGTTGCGGCGCGACCTCTGCAACTTACCTGGCTGCTTCTTGCTCCTCGTGGCCTGACTGAGGGCTGCCGGGAGCAAGGGGCGGGGCTTGTTGCATGTGCCCACCCCCTGGGCTCCTTACTGCCGGAGCTCCGCTCCTGTGGGCTCCCGCGGGAAATAACCCCTGAGGGTAACATTCAGTTACAAACACTAAAACAGACTGCACTGGAAGGCGAGCCAGGAAGCATAATTGTGGGTATGCCAGAAGAAACAAAAAGGTCTCCCCCTGCTGGCGAGAGACACCGATAGAGGGAGGCAGACAAGTCTCCCTAGGGAGAGAGTTCCAGAGTTCTGTTGCTGGAGAATGTGGACTTGTACAGGGCCGGCTCGAGGTGTTTCTGCGCCCTAGGTGAGGCACAGATGCCAGTCTCCCGGTGGGGCCTGGAAACCCTTTTGCTGCCGCCTTCTCCTCCCTCCCCAGGGGGGATGGGGAGGGCAGGTGAGCTGCGGCGGCGCCTCCTGCAACCCGGCCGGATGTCTTCCTGCTTCTGATGGCGGCGGCGAGTCCCCCCTGGCCGTCGCCATGCTGCCTCAGCTGGGCACAGAGAGGGGGGGCGGGCGGGCAGAGACCCTCGATCCCTGCCGCCTTTCTTTTCTCTCTCGCCAGGAGGGGGGGCTCAGCTGCTGCAGGGCCATGCTCCCCTCCCTGGTCCCTTCCCATGGCGGCAGCAATCACCCGTTTAGGGCGGTGGCGGGGGGCAGGGTGCAGTTTGGCGCCCCTGAGGGCCGGCGCGCCCTAGGCGAGCACGTAGTTCGCCTGGTGGGCGAGCCGGCCCTGGGCTTGTAGATCCATAGAAAAGAGCAAGAGTCCAGCAGCACCTTAAAGACTAACAAAATTTGTGGCGGGGGAGGAGCTTTTGTGCATCACTGCTCACTGCTTCAAGTAGAAGTAAACTGGGAAAATAAACACTCACAAATAATACGCAAATTATGACTTCAAGTGTAATATGTCAATATCTCATAAAGTAATACCTACACTATTGTCATTCCAAATATAACAAACTCCTGCTTATTACAAAGTATCAAAGTGTCAAGTATAAATAGCAAAAATATCAAAGATTACCAAAATACGTAATGAAGACTCCGGAATGAACTTAGTTTTATGAATCAACTTCTTCAGAAGTAAAACTTCATACATCACATAAGGTGTTATTCATTCCTTTCACTTATCAGAAATTAGATGTAAGGTGTTGTTAGTTCCTTCTGGGGCTTTTTTTGTAGCAGGAACTCCTTTGCATATTAGGCGACACACCCCTAATGTAGCCAATCCTCCAAGAGAACATAAGAACATAGACGCCAATGTTGGATCAGGTCAAAGGCCCATCCAGTCCAATACTCTGTGTCACACAGTGACCAAAAACACCAGGTGTCCTCAGGAGGTCCAGCACTGGGGCCAGGGCACTAGAAGCCCTCCCACTGTTGCCCCCCCAGGCACCAAAAATACAGAGCATCACTTGCCTCAGAGCCCCTATCTATACCTTGTGGCTAATAGCCACTGATGGACCTCTACTCCATATGCTTATCTAATTCCCTTTTGAAGCCATCCATGCTTGTAGCCGCCACCACTTCCTGTGGCAGTGAATTCCATGTGTTAATCACTCTTTGGGTGAAGAAGGACTTCCTTTTATCCGTTCTAACCCGACCGGTCAGCAATTTCATTGAGTGCCCACGAGTTCTTGTATTGTGAGAAATGGAGAAAATTACCTCTTTCTCTACCTGCTCTATCCCATGCATAATCCTATAAACCTCAATCATGTCTTCCCTCAGTCGTCGTTTCTCCAAGCTAAAGAGCCCTAAGCGCCTTAACCTTTCCTCATAGGGAAAGTGTTCCAACCCTTTTATCATTCGAGTTGCCCTTTTCTGCACTTTTTCCAAAGCTATAATATCCTTTTCAAGGTGTGGTGACCAGAACTGCACACAGTATTCCAAATGAGGTCGCACCATTGATTTATATAGGGGCATTATGATATTGGCTGATCTGTTTTCAATACCCTTCCTAATAATCCCCAGCATTGCATTGGCCTTCTTTATTGCAATCACACACTGTCTCGACATTTTCAGTGAGTTATCTACTACAACTCCAAGATCTCTTTCTTGATCAGTCTCTGCCAGTTCAGACCCCATCAATGTGTATTTATAGTTAGGATGTTTGGCTCCAATGTGCATCACCTTGCACTTGGCCACATTGAACCCCATTTGCCATGTTGACGCCCACTTGCCCATCCTTGACAGATCCCTTTGGAGTGCCTTTGGAGTGTAAGAAGAGCTCTGTAAGCTCTTGGAGGATTGGCTACATTAGGGGTGTGTCGCCTAATATGCAAAGAAATTCCTGCTACAAAAAGAGCCCTGGTTCCTTCTATTTATTCTGTTGTTTAAATCTGAGTTGGCTTCTGAAGATGTTGATTCACAAAACAAAGTTCATTCCGGAGTGTTCATTATACATTTTGGTAATCTTTGATATTTTTGGATTTATACTTGCCACTTAGATATTTTGTAATAAGCAGGAGTTTGCTATATTTGGATTACAATAGTGTAGGTATTACTTTATAAGATCTTGACATATTACACTTTAAGTCATAATTTGATTATTATTTGTGAGTGTTTAATTGTTTAGCGTTTTCCCCAGTTTACTTTTGTGCTTTGTATATGCTATATTGCTTTCAACTGGGAGGTTCCTTGGACTTCACTGCTTCAGATAGACCAGTGGCCGGTCGCCCCACAACTTGCGTGTGATGAAGTGGATTCTAGTCCATGTAAAGTAATGCTAGAATAAAAAAAACCTCCTTTTCATCTTTAAGGTATCGCTCGCTTCCGTTTCTTCTGGAGTGTTAATATCTGTTTATTAGTTGTTGTAGATCTTCCAGGCTGTGTGGCCGTGGTCTTGGCATTGTAGGACCTGACATTTCGCCAGTAGCTGTGACTGGCATCCTCAGAGGGATAAGATAAGAACCTCAACAGCCAATCCACATGCAAAAGAACCTCCTCAGGAAACAATCCGTATACAAAATAACCTCCTCAGGAAAGCTCCTCCATCAGCATGTTCATAGCCTGGGGAACTCCTACAAGATAATGAATCAGCCCTACCCCACATTCCTGAGTAGATATAAATTACCTGCCTACCGTTTTTCTTCTTCTCACCTTGACACAGAGAGTACTCCATCTTTCTGTGTTATAGCTCTGAGGATGCCAGTCACACAACTCCAGTCCTACAATGCCAAGACCACGGCCATACATCCCGGAAAATCTACAGCAACCAATGAGCTCCGGCCGTGAAACCCTTCGACAAAATATATGTTTATACCGCAGCACTTTATTTAAACTTTTTTTTTAATTGGCCACTGCCACTGAGTACCTTCAACTGTGGCTTGAAATGCCAGCTGGTTCATTTTATTCCACTGAGTTGTTTGTAAAGGTTCCAAATGATCAGTAATTAGGTATATTGTTTATTAATTCACTTCATTTATGTCTCGCCTTTCCCCCCCCCATCGGGACCCAGAGTGGTTTACGATATTCTCCCCTTCTCCATTTTACCCTCACAACAACCCTGTGAGGTAGGTTAGACTGAAAGCGTGTGACTAGCCTGAGGTCACCCAGCGAGCTCCAGAATGGAGTGTGGATTGGGACTTGGGTCGTCCAGATGCTAGACTGAAACTTTGATCACTCCACCACACTGGCTGTGGGATTAACACATTCTTGGATATTGGCAGTAGAGATGATTTGGGAATATCGTAGAAACCACTGTTTATTTACTATATTGAAATACATGACGTTGTAAATAAATGTGTGCGTATTTGTGCGTGAGTGTAAATGAATTGGCACAGTACTAAATTATTAACTCTAAACGTGAAATTTTAAGTCTCGCCTGCCATCTACTGTTCTCATCTGGAAATTACACTTAGTCGATAACATCTTACGAATCCACAGAATGACATTTTTTTCCAACTCCAGTTTTCCACTCCGCTTTCCAATATATAGGACAGGTGGACTCACATTCTAGCTGTATCTGACGAAGTGAGTGGTGACTCAGGGAAGCTCCTCCCCTGCCACGAATTTTATTAGTCTTCAGGGCGCTACGGGACTCTTGCTCTTTTCTGCTGCTTCAGATAGACTAACATGGCTACCCACCTTGAACTATTTTCCCCTCTATCTGCCTACCATACAGAAGTGTTTTAAAATATATAAAGCGTCAGTGAGGCTTCATAGTTGGAGCAGACAATCCAGGTTTAGGCATTGATCAAGTGCTACAAAATGGTAGACATGGTAGAGGTGGAAGACACCCCCCCCCCAGTTTTGTCATGTCAAGTCGCAACCGACTGATGGTGACCCCAGCAAGGGGCTTTCAAGGCCAGGGAGAAGCAGAGGTGGTTGGCCATGGCCTTCCTCTGCAGAGCCTTCCTTGGTGGTCTCCCTTCCAAGTACCGACCCTGCATAGCTTCCCCAGGAAGGGGCTTTCAAGGCCAGTGAGAAGCAGAGGTGGTTTGCCATGGCCTTCCTCTGCAGAGCCTTCCTTGGTGGTCTCACTTCCAAGTACCAACCCTGCTCTGTTACTTGAGTGTCATTACGAGGACGATGTTGTTGATATTTGACAGGCCTCCATCAAGCCAAAGTGCGGACGGATGATCAGTTTCTCATCAGGCGGGGAGAACCCTCATGGCGTGAAGGCCGTCACCAAGGGTCAGCGGTGCGCCGTCGCTCTGTGGTTCACCCTAAATCCACTCTACCGGGAACTGGTGAGTTTTCCATTGTTGGGGGCAGTTGGATGGGACGGATTGTACCAAAGTTGTTTTCTTGAAAAGATCCGCCCAGTAAACGAGGGAGTAGATTAACAGCTGCACCCAGGATGCGATAAGACCTCTTCTGGAGAAGCGGCAGCCATCCTTAACACACACAGAAGCGCCAACAGTGCCATTGGTGGTGTGCGTTCTCCTCTTGAGTCCTGAATTCAGTTCTGGAAACCCCAGCCCAAGAAGGATGTTGACACGTGGAAAAAAATCAGAGAAACCAAAGCTCGGTATGAGTTGGGTCTGGCCAGGGGGGCTCGCTACAATAAGAAAAACTTCTACAGATATGTGAGAAGCAAATGCAAGGTAAAAGAGGAAATTGGACCGCTGTTGGGAGTAGAAGGAGACACTCTGGTTTATCAGTGATCTGGATGAAGGGGTAGAAGGGCTACTCATTCAATTTGCTGCTGATACCAAATTGGGAGGAGTAGCAAACACCCAAGAAGATAGAGTTAAAATTCAACAAGACCTGAATACTCTGGAGAAGTGGGCAGTTGCGAACAGGATGCGATTCAACAAAGATAAAAGCACAGTATTACATCTGGGTCACAAAAATGTCAAGCACCAATACTGGATGGGGGATACATTTCTGAGGAGGAGTGTATGCCAAAGAGATCTTGGGGTAAGGGTGGACTGTAAACTGAATATGAGCAGTCAGTGTGATGCGGTAGCAAAAAAGGCAAATTCAGTCTTGGGTTGTATTAAAAGGGCCACAGCATCGAAATCACAGGAGGTCACGGCCCCTCTGTATACTGCCTTTGTCAGGCCACACCTGGAGTCCTGTGCGCAGTTCTGGAGGCCTCACTTCAAAAAGGACGTGGGCAAAATGGAGAGGGTGCAGAAGAGAACGACGAGGATGATCAGGGGTCTGGAGACCGAGCCCTACGAAGAAAGGCTGAGGGCCTTGGGGATGTTTAGTCTGGAGAAGAGGAGACTGAGGGGGGGCATGACGGCTCTCTATAAATATCTGAAAGGCTGTCACTTGGAGGAGGGCAAGGAGCTGTTCCAGTTGGCAGCAGAGGACCCGAAGCAGCAGGTTTAATTACCTGCAGAAAGGGTATCGGCTGGATATTAGGAAACACTTTTTCACGGTCAGAGTGGTCCACAGGTGGAATCAGCTGCCTAGGGAGGTGGTGCCTTAGTCTGGAGAAGAGGAGACTGAGGGGGGACATGATGGCTCTCTTTAAATATCTGAAAGGCTGTCAGCCAGTTTGGTGTCGTGGTTAAGTGCACAGACTCTAATCTGGGAGAACTGGGTTTGATAATCCCGCTCCTCCACTTGCACCTGGCTGGATGACCTTGGGCAAGCCATAGTTCTGAAAAGAGCTGTCCTTGAAAAAGAGCAGTTTGTGTCAGAGCTCTCTCAGCCCCACCCACCTCACAGGGTGTCTGTTGTGGGGAGGGGAAGGGAAAGGAGTTTGTGAGCCGCTCTGAGACACCTTTGGGTAGTGAAGGGCGCGGGTATGAATCTAATATCTTCTTCTTCTTCTTCTACTACTACTACTACTACTACTACTACTACTACTACTACATGCCTGCATGCTTTCTGACCTCCCTCCTCCCAACCCCTGCAGGTAGAAAGCTAACCTGTCAGATAGAAGGCTAGGCTACCGCCTATCTGGCTGCTCTACTACTTCTCTATGCAGGGAGGGGCTGTAACTCAGTAGCAGTGCATGTCCTTGGCACGCAGAAGGTCCCAGGTTCAGTCCCCAGCATCCCCAGTTAAAAGACCAGATAAAAGATAATGTGAAAGACCTCTGCCTGAGACCCTGTAGAGCCACTATCGATTTGAGTAAACAGTACTGAACTAAATGGACCAAGGGTCTGATTCAGTCGCTTCATGTGTATTTATTTATTGGGGCGCGGCTGCGGCTCAGTGGTAGAGAATCCATTCGGCGTGCAGAAACTTTGGTCAGCTTCCAGCCTGAAATGCTTCAAGTGCCCCTGGATTCTGAAACACGCTCCTAAAGAAGTTCTTTAAGCGCTGCCGCCACCTTGTGGACGTGGTGAGGATAACGTCCCCATGGTTCAAGTGTCCAGCGACACCTTTTAAGACCAACGAAGTTTTATCCAGGGTATAAGCTTTCATGTGCATGTACAGTTCTTTAGCTACATTGAAATGGAAGTTACCAGTCCATACATAGAGGTAAAGGTTGAGCAGCAAATTAGCATACAGCCTATTAAAGTTGTTTGACAGATGCAAGGACCAAACAACCTTAATATGTTGTGGGTTAATTTGCTGCTCACCCTCTGCCTGTATGTATGGACTGGTAACTTCCATTTCTACATAGAATCATAGAATCATATAGCTGGAAGGGTCCATAGAGACCATCCAGTCCAACCCCCTGCCCAATGCAGGACCAGCCTAGAGCATCCCTGACAAATATTCGTCCAGCCTCTTCTTGCAAGCTGTCAGTGAAGGGCAGCTCACCACCTCCCTAGGCAGCTGATCCCACCTTTGAACCACCGTGACCGGTTTCCATATCTGAAGATGTGTGCTTTGCACACAAAAGCTTATACCTTGGATAAAACTTTGTCGGTCTTAAAGTTGCCCCTGGACTCGAACTCTGCTCCGCCGCTTCAGACCAACACAGTGACCCACCTGAATCTATCCCCGTGGTGTATTCCGTAGCTGGCAGCCACAAGAAAACAAGGGAGGCAGTGGTGATCCAGTTGCTGAAAAGGTTCGCAAGTTCCTGAGTCACGCAGAAGCCCAAGCTGGCAGCACCGAGGAGCTCCAATAGAGGGGCTGGGAAGTTATAACCCGGTTCCTCGGTGCCAGCAGGGAAGGAGTGAGGCCCGCTTCTCTGGAGAGAGGGTTCCGTAGGCTCAGCAGTCACTCTGGAGAAGACTCCTTTCCCACCACCTCCCGCCAGGTTCCAGAACCTTCTGCCCCCCAAATCTGGTTGGCCTCCAAGGTTCTGCTGGTCTCAAATCCAGCTGGTCTGTGTACCATAGGATCACAGGGTCCTAGAATCACACGGGACCATAGAAGCCATCTAGTCCAACCCCTTGCTCAGTGTAGGATCAGCAGAATGTTTGTCCAGACGCTGCTCAAAGACTGCCAGGGAGGGGGAGCACACCACTAGGGGTGCGCACACACACACACAAAATATGTGTGTGTGTGTTAAACCAAGCCCGAAAAAATATTGGTATAAACGGATATTCCCAAATCCCAATATCAGTAAGATACTGGGGTTCGGGAAAAATCGGTACTGCTGAATATATTCGGCACCATTACACCCTATGGGGAAAGTCCCCATAGAGTAGAATGGCACTGAAGCCTTTCCTTCCCCAGGCTCAACTTCTGGTCAGTTTCATTCCCTGCCAGTCAGCTGGGGAGTGAAATTGACCAGTACAAGCAGCTGAGCTGCTGAGGAAGGAAATATAGGGTGGGGAGGAGGCATGTTTAAATGCCACCCCCTCCCCAGCCTGCCTGGCTCCCCAGATCAGCTTCCCGAGGCGCCCTGCAGCTGCGGGCAAGCTAAGGAAAGGAAGAGATTGGAAGACAGGGCTGGTCAGTTTCACTGAAACTGACACCTTCCCTACCTGACTCCACCAAATAATAGCCGAATAAGATCAGCTTTTATTCGGGAGCATGTTATCGGCCAGCCAAATCAGATTAGAGAATCTGATTCATCTTAACAAATACCCCCCAAATTCCAATAAGGTAATTTTCGGGGGGGGGGGGAAGGTTCAATTCAGCAAAGCTGAATGCACACCCCCGCTCACCACCTCCCTAGGCAGCTGATTCCACTGCTGCACAACTCTGACTGTAAAAAGGTTTTTTTAAATATCCAGCCGGTACCTTCCCGTCTTTAATTTAAACCCATTATTGCGCGTCCTCTCCTCTGCTGCCAGCAGCTCCCTGCCCTCCCCTAAGTGACACAGCCCTTCAAATCCTTCAAGATGGCAATCGTGTCCCCCTCAGCCTCCTCTTCTCCAGACTGAACCTTCCCAAGTCCCTCAGCCTTTCCTCACAGGGCTCCTTGGTCTCCAGGCCCCACAATCGTCCTCGTCACTCTCCTCTGCACCCGCCCCATTTCGTCCACATCCTTTTGTGAAGTGAGGTCTCCAGAACTGGACACGGCAGAGCTGTATCGATACCTGCCATGTCTTGTCTCTCTCTTCCCTCCCCCCCAATTTCTCCATCTGTTACGCCTTTTGTTTCTCCTTTCCCCAGGAGCGGATCCAAGCCGACGAGGTCATCGCGGCGTTAAACCAGGAGTCTCTCGGCCCCAGCGAACAGGGCATCAACCCCAAAGACGAGCTATGAGCCAGGACCACGGACACACGATTAAATATATATATATATATATTTAATATTTGTTTTAAAATCTTATCAGAACCTTTTATTTTTGTACAAAGCCTCGGTCTAAGTTAATGGACAGGTTTACTAGGGAGAGAGAGAGAGGTGGTGGTGGTGGTGGTATGCCGAAGAAATAAAAGTCCTCCTCTCGGTTCACACCGTTTTTTCTCCTGGCGGTTCTCGGGAGTCTCTCGTTGGAATTCTCTGGCACTCTTCCAGATCCCCGTTCTGCCTTGCAGCCTGTTTATGACTTCCCCTGCCTGGTGCGTCTGTCCTCTTCAGAGCCCTCCCAGCCTCTGAAGCCGGCTTCTCTGCCTCCGAAAGCCATGCCTCTTCTCCCAGATGGTCCCCTGGTGATGTTTTACTTTCAGCCGTGCTGGGACTGAGACCCCGGGTTTCGAAAATGTTTCTGCAGCTAAACCCCTGAGGAGCCCACCCTCCCTGGCACGCACTGGGTCGCTCGCAGCATCTGACCTGTCTGCCAACAGAACCCAGGCCATTGCATCACGGGCAGCAAAATCTGGTTTTGAGTTTTGCGTGCAAATCCAGCTCGCTTGGACAGTTTGCGAAATCGGCCTTGTCTCGAATTACTGAAGAAGGGGGAGAAGGTGGGCTGAAGGTTAAAAGGGCTGTGCGTGGTGCGCCGGGGGAAAAACATGGCCCTTTTTCACCCAGCGCTCTGTGTGTGGCCAGAAGACTTGGGTGCCTGTGCAGGTGGTCACAAGCTGAACGGCTTGCTGAGAGCCATCCCCCCCAGTCTTTATCGTCTACATCTGGTACTCCAGTATGGCGTCCTTAAACATGGCTCTTCGTTTGACAGACCTGATCCCCATGAGTGTATCTCATCCTCTCGGATATGCAGCTTTGCTGCTGGCCTTCCCGTTATCCTGTGGCACTGAGTTCCAGAGGTTAATCATGTACTGAATGCAGAACTATTTTATTGTCTTTTGTCTTGAACCTCACTGGATGATGAGCCCGATTAACCTTCCCATGGAAAGGAGGAATTGTTGTCTATGGGAAGGGGGGGGTACATGACTGTCGTTGGTCGCATATGGAATTAAATCCCAGAGAATGGTCTGAATGTTTCTGGTGCTGTGACACAGTTGTATTGAAAAGAGAAATTGGCTTGACCAGTGCCTGGCTGGGGGGCTTTGGTTGAGAGCCAGTTTGGTGTAGTGGTTAAGTGCGCGGACTCTAATCTGGGAGAACTGGGTTTGATTCCCCACTCCTGCACTCGCAGCTGCTGGATGACCGTGGGCAAGCCGTAGTTCTGATAAGAGCTGTCCTTGAAAAAGAGCTGTTTCTGTCAGAGCTTTCTCAGCCCCACCCACCTCCCAGGGTGTCTGTCTGTTGTGGGGAGGGGAAGAGAGAGGAGATTGTAAGCCGCTCTGAGACTCCTTTGGGTAGTGAAGGGCGGGGTATAAATCCAATCTCTGCTTCTTCTTCTTCAACAAGACGGAGACCTTGGTACAAAGACAGCCGAGGAGTCACTTACCTGGCTAAAGGGGTTCCAGCGGGCAGCTGCCTAAGATCATGGGGGCGATGCGCTGGAGAAAGTATGGGGTCAGGAATCGGCAGCGGCTCGGGTACATTACAAGGTCTTCCTGGGAGCTGTACGATCTTTCAACAGGAAAATGAAGACGGCACACATGTATGCCACTCAGTGTGGGCCACAATCCACCAGCGCTCCCTCCTGCGCAAGTCCCATAGCGCACTTTTGTTTCAATGGGACTTTCTCAGGAATATGTCCTGTGGGATATTCCCTGTCTCTCCCCGGACCACAGACTCGCTGCGACTGCCTGTTCTTAATGTCTCTGTGGCTTTTGCAAAACCAGCCACTGACGGGCCTGTAACATCCCCTGCAACCGCTCCAGCGTCATCAGGATGAGTCCATTCCAGGCACAGCAAGTAACCAGAAGCTTACCTGCTATCGGGAAGCCGAACGGGACTTCGTGTTGTATCTAAAGCCAGGAGGAATAAAAGGAAACTCGGAGAACAGAGCCGTGTGTCCTCTTTTTGTCTGGGCTCTCAGTAATTTCGGACAAGAACTGAAGCATGAGTCAGGAAACTCTTTTTTTAAAAAATTGATTTGATTTATTTAAAATGTTTCTTAGCATCTGTCTCCCCCGTGGAACTCAAGGCAGCTCACAAGATAAAGAAAACATCATAAAACACAATGAAAACAACAATTTTAAAAAGTCACAGACCGATTTCCCACAGCCGCTGCTCTGCGCTCGCTCCTCTCTTTGCCCCGACGGTACGTGTCAGTTTCCCACTTGAAGCTGCATGGTCGCATTTTGACCCGCGGCTTCGCCCAATTTCCCCCACGGTTTCGTGATCCTGTTTTTTGAGGGTTACAAAACCGTGGGCAAAATCGGGTGAAGCCGCGGGTCAGAATGCGGCCGCGCGACTTCGAGTGGGAAACTGACACGTACCATCAGGACAAAGAGAGGAGCGAGCGCAGAGCAGCGGATGTGGGAAATCAGTCACAGTTTTAAAAACTCCACTTAGTAGGACTGCCAGTAAGAACATAAGAACATAAGAGACGCCAATGTTGGATCAGGCCAATGGCCCATCCTGTCCAACACTCTTTGTCACACAGTGGCCAGAAATACCAGGTGCCATCAGGAGGTCCAGCAGTGGGGCCAGGACATTAGAAGCCCTCCCAATCTTGCCCCCCCCCAAGCACCAAGAATACAGAGCATCACTTGACCCAGAGCCGCCTTTATTCTTCTTTATCCTTCTTTATTGCAGTCACACACTGTCTCAACATTTTCAGTGAGTTATCTACTACAACTCCAAGATCTCTCTCTTGATCAGTCTCTGCCAGTTCAGACCCCATCAATGTGTATTTATAGTTAGGATTTTTGTAATACAAAAATACAGTAATACAAGCTCAATCAATCCGAATGCAGTCCTAAATAGAACTGTCTTCCAACTGCGTCTTGAAGATCGACACTGGGGGAGGGGGCAGGTGTACCTCCCTGGGGAGGTTGTGCCGTGATCATGGGGCCGCCACTGAAAAGCCCCTGTCTTGTGTACCCCTCAAAGAAGCTTCTTTCACTGATGGGACCGCCAGGAGGGCCTCTCCCTGTGATATTAATTCCCAGGCAGGAACATAGGGGAGAAGATGTCTTTAAAGGACAAAATCAACACTTTGAATTGAGCTTTGGAGCGGATTGGTAGCCAGTGTAATTGCTATAGTCAGGGATCATTTCCTGCGGGAGCGCACAGGAGCGGAACTCCGGCAGTAAGGAGCCCAGGGGGCAGGCACATGCAACAAGCCCCACACCCTGCTCCCAGCAGCCCTCAGTCAGAGCAAGAAGCAGCCAGGTAAGCTGCAGAGCCCCCCCTGCCCCGCTAGTCCAAAACAGTCCAGTGGCACCTTTAAGACCAAGTTTTATTCAGGCACAAGCTCTCCTTCCTCTGCGAGGACAAATCTGCACCCCCCCTCCAAATAACTAGCAATCGAAAACAGTCCAGTGGAACCTGAGCGGTGGGTGTTGCCTTCTGACACACTTCCGGTGATGTCAGGGGGTGTGGCATATGCAAATGAGTTATGCTAATGAGCTCCTGCACCCCTTTTTCTACGGAATGTCCCCTGGCTATAGTATTGGGAACCTATGCTCCTGATAGCTGGCCCGACCAGCTGTCTAGCTGCAGCAGTCCGCACTAGCTGCAGCTTCAAGGGTAGCCCCAAGTAGAGTGCATTGCAGTAGTCCAGTCTAGGCGTAACTAAGGCCGTGATCATACGCATAATTAGACCCGAGATAGGTGCAAATGCCGGTCGGATTTAAAGGGCATGGTCAGACAACACGCCTCACCTGTCGGCAACCTGTTCTGCTCCGCTGCAGAAGCGGAGTTAGAAGACACCGGAGAAAATCCAGTAGTAAACAGTTTGCAACGGACCACAGACTGACTTTCCCGTGTCTGGTCACTCCAGTGCGCTCTCATGCCGTTGGGATGGTCTGATCGGGCCATTGTTTTCTGTGCCATTGTTTTCTGTGTTTTCATTGTTTTCCCCCCCTTCGCAGTATGCGCATCATCGCAAACTCCATAGGGAGCCCTCAGTGCAGAGGGGTGATTCATCGAGCCACTTTGGTGTCGTGGTTAAGTGCGCGGACTCTAATCTGGGGGAACCAGGTTTTATTCCCCACTCCTCCTCCACTTGCACCTGCTGGATGACCTTGGGCAAGCCATGGTTCTGACAAGAGCTGTCCTTGAAAAAGAGCAGTTTCTGTCAGAGCTCTCTCAGTCCCGCCTACCTCACAGGGTGTCTGTCGTGGGGAGGGGAAGGGAAAGGAGTTTGTAAGCCGCTCTGAGACTCCTTTGGGGAGTGAAGGGCGGGGTATGAATCTCTTCTCTTCTTCATCTAAGTGCATGGGAAATACACGGCACGGAAAAAAACTACTCACCTGCAGTTGTATCTGATCACAGCTTCAAAGGGAGGTGTGATCTTGCAACTGCAGGTCAAATCTTCCGGAGGAAATAGCTTCGCTTCCCACCCACCCCCATTTTATATGGCGCGTGTGACCGCACCCTAAGACATGGATCACTGTGGCTAGAGTTGACTGACCCAGGAACAGACGCAGCTGACGCACCAGGTGGAGATGGGCAAACACGCTCTGAGCCATAACAGCCACCCAGTTTTCTAAGGTGACAACGGTCTCCAGCAGCACTCCCCAGCATTTCAAGGGGAGTATAACCCCATCTAAGGCACTTTGTTTCTGGAGCACTGAAGAATTTGTGTTTGTTGTCCGTTTCCAGATTTTGTACAATTGTGGCATGCACTATAGAATCATAGAATGTTACGAGTCGGAAGGGATCTTGCAGGTCATCTAGTCCAACCCCCTGCACTCTGCAGGAGCAGAGCCAAAAGAGAGCCCTACATACCTACAACATACAGCTCTAGATCAGGGGTCCCCAACAGGGTCGCATTATAGAAGAAGAAGAAGAAGAGATTGGATTTATATCCTGCCCT